TATATCTGTTGTCTCAAACCCAGTCTGACACTAATGACATATGATATCATGAACCTGTGTGACAATTTACACTCTGAATACAAGCAGACAAAAAAACGCAGAGGTTAAGACGGGAAACGGGGGGAGAGCTTGAGAGACAGGAAGTGTAAAAATGACAGGCATAATTGCTTGGGGAAGGGTGAAGGAGCGAAAAGAGTCAGGGAGGAAGTGATGAGAACAGGCTATATACACATCCTCAGAGAGTCTGCGTCAGTGTTAGAAATGCATGAAAATAGAGGCTTTACAGTGAGAAGAAAAACACATCTCAGAATGTAGAACATGAACGAGGTTCACATACAGTCACACAGGAGTGCAAGCAGTCTCCTGCATATGCCAGAGCTACTTAACATGCATCTCACTCCAGGTTTCAAAGAATATTCTGTGGAATTGAAAAAAAAGAAACTTCCCGAGACTGCTGCAAAGCATTTATCGCCAGTGTGTATTGTGGGCTTGTTCATACACCCATGCCTCTCCAAAGTACACACAAGGACACACATGCACGAGGTTCAGGCATCCATATGCACAGCTCCCCGCATTTCCAGCTCTCACAAACACTTTCACGCCTCTGCTCAAATGTGCTTCATCATGGTCGAGCTGTGGTAACACCCCACAGCAGCTGATGAACTTACAATATGATTTAATGTCAAACCTCTCTGAAGATGCACCGAGACTTCACACCTCAGCCCTCACCTTACATCAAACTAGTAAAAGCTCTGAGCTCAAACACACTGGAGCTGGAAATAAAGACAGAACCATTCATTCATGATCACTGCAGATTTTTCAATATTCTACGGGCAAATTACTCCAACCTTACATCTCTATTATGCTGGCCAAACGGAGTAAGAACGATTAACTTTTCTCCTCTGAGGCTCACAGCAGCAGCAGCTACAGTGATTTTAGCTGGGATTGGAAGATAAACCAGTGACTAGGGATGGGTTTATGTGCAATTGTGCATACAAGTATTCAGACCGCACACATGCCTTTAAATTTCAAGTTGCATACTAAAAACTGCAAAGAGGGATGATACATTTCTGAAAACACCAAGTTTTCAGTCTCATGTGCTAATTTACTTCCTCTTAAAAACAAAGATTTGTTTTAAAGAAGCAACACTGTAACCAAGTATTCAGTATTGTAATTGCTCAGATGATAAATTAACAGTTTTCCTTTAGACCTGCAGTCCTTTATGCTAACAGATAGCATAGTTGGGTTGGTCTGGTAGCTGGGTCAGACTAGTCAAAAAAAAAAAAGTTGCCTAGTCTGACGAGTTTCCTATCCTGCTGTGACATTTAGATAGTAGAATCAGAAGTTTCAGTAAATAATACGAAAGCATGGATGCATCCTGACGTACATCAATGGCTGAGGATGCTGCTGGTGTGGAGGCGATTTTCTTGGCACACCTTAGTACCAAACGAACATCGTTTAAACACCACGGCCTACCTGAGCGTTTTAGCCAACCATGTCCAATGATCACTGTGTACTCATCTTCTCATGGCTGCTTCAAGCAGGATAATGCACCATGTCACAAAGATCAAATCATCTCAGACTGGTTTCTTGAACATGACAATGAGTGCACTGGACTCTAATTGCCTCCACAGTTACCAGATTGCAATCCAATAGAGCCACTTTGGGATGCAGTGGAATGGGAAATTCACAGATGTGCAGTCCACACCCTTTTGACGGTATTGTGTCAGCATGGACCAAAAACTCTGAGGAATGTGTCCAGCAGCTTGTTGAATCTTTGCCATGAAAAATTAAGGCGTTCGGAAGGCAAAGGGGGTCCAATCTAGTACCAGCAAGTGACAAAGTGAGATTTTGTTATTTTGTGTTAGTTTTCTTCTTGCTTTTATTTAACAGGCAAGTTTAGTCAGCTTTACTGTTTGGCTTTAGCTTTAATTTACCTTATGATTATAGCATTTCATCATCTTTACATATAAAACCATTTCAGACTCGCTTATATACGGGAAGTTAGGAATGATTAGGACCCCCCAAATGCTATGACTTCATATCCCAGGACCTCCTGGAATTGTACCAATGGATTTGGAATTGGGAGAGTGACTGAATGCAGCCATTCAAAAGAGGCACTCTGAACCTCACAACTGAGCAGTAAAAAAATAATGAGAGCACTGGTGCATATTTTGGTTACTGTGGTCACTTTGTTTGGCCAGATAGGATGTCACATATTATCATAGCATAAAATAAATTCAAGCTCAGGACCACTGCAGACCATAGCCTGCAGGCTTTAAGTCATAAACTCTCACCACACTGGGTGCGCATGTCTATGCAATTTCTCAACATTACATTTTTGTGTGGTGAATGTAGTACAGCTTGCATGTGTGCGATTCGAAGAGATTTTGTGTTGAAGGTCCAAGTGCTCTTTGCAACCAATGTGAGCAAAGACAAGGAATATGTGGAACCAAAAGAAAGAAAATGTGGAGAACAGATGAGCAG